ATATGAGATGAAAAAAATAAACATGAATTTATTTTATTGTTTAGAAGTAAAGTAACTATTTTTATACTGGCTTATCCTGCTATAAATATATTTTATGATTATAAAAGGATCTAGAAAAAGATAACAATGCATGGTTTAGCACCGCGTTTACGATATTGATTATCATTTATCCATGCGTTGAATATGATCTGATGCCTCTGTTATATATATAGAGAGATCCTTGATAAAATACGTAGAAGAATCTGCAATGTTATTGGACCTGGCATCTCGGCTTCAGTCATTTTCCCAACACCGTAATGTAGTTTCCCTGCGCTTTTTCTATAAATACTTTCATGGGAATTGTTCTGATGAACTCTGAGGTACCTTTATGAATTTAAGTGCAGTACTAGATTGGCGGCAAGGTCTCATCATTTTACAGTTGAAATGGCTAAGTATAACCGTAAATTCTATGCTAACAGCTTCTATTCTCGCTCGTGGAATTTTCTTCCGGCTTCTTCTAACTTTCCAGTCAAGTTTGATCTTCAAAAATTTAAATGAAATGTCAATCGTTATCTTCTGTCATCTTAATTCCCGTTCTTTTATTGTTCTCTCCTTAATAGTTTTTTCTCTCATACTCTCTCACACTCAGTAACCCCTTGTATCTCAGTGGCTTTATTGGGCATCTCGAGGTGGTGTAATGGTTAGCAAGCTTGTCTCGCTAGAACAATTACGACTGAGTAGTGAGTTCAATTCTCATTGGGCGCCTCTTACTTTCGGCCTTGTGCCACATCCAAGCTACGCTTGGAAAATCACTTTTGGAGCACCTCAGGGTGGTGCAATGGTTAGCAAGCTTGTCTCACTAGAACAATTACGACTGAGTAGTGAGTTCGATCTTCACTGGGTGCCCCATACTTTCGGCCTTGTGCCACATCTAAGCTACCCTTGGAAAATTACTAGGGCACCTGAGTTGGTGTAATAGTTAGCAAGTTTGTCTCGCTAGAACAATTACGAATGAGTAGTGAGTTCGATCGTCACTGGGTGCCCCTTACATTCAGCCTTGTGCCACATCTGCTTGGAAAATCAGTATCTCAGTGGCTTTATTACCTTGCTTGGGGTTCAAATTATTAAAACTGAAAGACATTAACTTTACGTAACTACATTCTTAATAATCGACTTTTTCATTAATTTTGTAGTATCAGCGTATTACATTTGCTCTTATTTTATGTTGTGTGATGATAAACGAAAACAAACACTTCTTTAAAATACATTTTAAAAAGAAAAAATGCAAATGACTCACAAAATATTAAATTTAGTCATCAATATATTTGTTGTTATGAATAACAATATTATAGAGAACAAAATATTAAATCAATTTTATGTGACAAATAATAGCATTTTTAAATCAATTTTACAGTGTAGAACAGAATTGAGGAAAAAGTCTTCGAAAGAAAAGTTTTCGCTAAAAATTAAACTCATGTAAACATTAAAAATAACTTTCTTGAGAGAGACTTCATAACATTTGTAAGAAAGACGAGAAGAATATCTTAATTATAATTTATTTCTTTAAATGAAATAAAATTAAAATGTTATATTAGGGTAGTAGAAGAAACCCTTAGATATACAGAATATGCACAATAAATAAATGAATAAAGTTGATCATTGTATTTGCTTTTATGGATAACAATGTCATAGAGGAGAAGATTAAATTAATTTTTAAGTGAAAAATGCATTGCGTATTTGAATCAACTCACAACAAAGAAAAACGCGAGAAAGTTTTATTTTAAATATAAAAATATAAAATATTTTTTTTACAACTAAAATATTCTCGTATAAGTGTTAAAGTTCCTGTGTTAAAATTCCTTGTTTATTGTTGTTTAAGATGAAAACGAGTGTATGTGTGAAAAAGAGAGGCAAGGGAGAAAGTGAGGAAGAAAGTGTAAGTGTCACGTAGCTTGTTGAGGAAGAGTGTAAGTGTCACGTAGCGTGATGAAGACGACGAGTGAATGAGTAAGGGAATCTTTTAACCTGCGGTCGTTTCCATCTTCGCTCCACAAATGTTTAATTAACTTCGAAGTAAAAAGACCAATATCCCAAAATTTAATTTTTTAGTGAATTTCGCACAAAAAAGTTTGTTTTTGCAATGGAAACAAAAATAATATAGCAAGTTCGAAGGAAATAAAATAAATGAATCTTATACTTACTTCAATTAAATAAGCTAATGTTATTCCAAGTATAAAAAGCAAATATTTCTTAAGCCGACTACAGAAGTGAACTACCAAAAATCCAAACCGAGGGAATCATATTTCTGTTGCTTCAAGTCTCTTCTCCGTCTGTGAAGAGATTGTCCTGCATTTACTGCCATATGGGAAGACAGATATTACGTAACAGTTCAGTACTCTATTCTTTGTTTCTAACCAAAATTTCCTATTTCTTAATACTTTGCTTAGCTTTTGGAGGGCATTTTTCACTATCCCAATCCACTTACGGATTTCGATGTCGTACTTTTCGTTCACTGTCAAAACAATTCACAGATATTTAAATTGTTGCACTTACTTGATTTTGTAAACGAATAATTCGAAACGCTTACGGCAACATTGTGTTGAAACAACGATTCCCGCATGATCACTGAAGTTAAGCAACATCGACCCTGGTCAGTAACTTGACAGGTGACCGCTTGGGAATAACAGGTCCTGTAAAATTCTATGTTTGGGTGATGTAATGGATAATCATTCGGAATTGTTAATCGGAGAGCTGAAATTCAATCCCGTTGTGTTCGTTATAGTCACTTACGCGCAAATCTCCACCGATTCTCCTCCAGCTATGGGTTAATTAGTAAGATTCGTATGACTAAATCATTATTACCTCGCCCCCAATGTTTTACAATTTAAAATATATATTCGGGTTTTAAATAACCAGCAAATGATTGATAAGCCGTAGAAAACGAATCAATCAATAAAAAAACAATAATTCAGAATATAGACCTAAGCTTATTAATTCACAAATTGTATTGTAATCCGCTTTATTTGTAGTATTAGTATACCTTATGCATTATAGATAGGGGTCTCTTTAAGAGTATTGCGCCAAGAAAAATATCGTTACGATGTGCTTTTTTCTTGTTTTACTATAACAAACATGCAGACATACATAAATCTGTATATTATACATCAAGTGCCAAAAAAAAAAAAAAAAAATTGATAAATAACGGATTCTATAATTATTATTAAATATCCGTGGATTTATCTCCCTTGAAATTTCGGAACATTATAATACGGAATATGAAGATGACCCCTAATGGAGATTCAGAATTTTATTATTAAGATGAAAACTAGACTTTATTATTCGATTTAGATCATTTTGATGGTATTACGCTAACAAAAATCTCGATACGATATGTTTTATATGTTTAAGAAATCACTTGCGACTAGCCAGTTTCTTGAAGGTGAACAGGTGACCAGGGAGAATGGCAGTTGGATCTGCCAAGCGATGTACACCAAATTTACATCGTTTACAATGGCCCTGGAGATGGTGAATATCGATGGCAATATCGTGTGACATGACCGCTTCATGAAGGTCTTCAGGATCGGTGCCAGCATCTGCATTGAGTTGCTGAATACAGTAGCCTAACTTTGGGTAGCCGTACACGTTCCAGCACTTCCTTATATATATATATATATATATATATATATATATTATAATGGGACAGAAGGCAGGGACCAGTGGATTCGTGCCTTTCACATGACCAGTAAACAAGTGAAATTTTAATTCAGTTTGAAAATGCTATATTATATGTTGATAACAAGTAAGTTAGCTCACACATCCGTTTAGTGCATATATTGAGAATACAGGGACAGATGGATTCATGCCTTCTCCGTTTACCCTAATAGAAATAAAGCCATTCATACGAAAATATATAAATAATTATATAAATATTTATATATAAATAATAATATATAAGCAATAATAAGCGATTAACAATTGTCAATATATTCATTATAAATGCTTACAAAAATACTCGGTGTGTCCTTCCTATGGCAATGCCATCTCAGTCCTTTTTTAAAATACTTAAGGTCTCATATAACTACCCAGCATCCCTTTCGCTTTTCAAAGCTGTTTGTAGACTCTTCAACTGTATTTAATCATGTCCAGTTCCTTTCAATAGCATCTTTAGCTGTCGAAGTGACACATTTTAACTGTAAAGAGCTGACAGACCAAGGATGTTGCGATTTTTATTCCCCCATATCCCTACAAGAGATGTCATTGCAATTGCTAAGCCAGCACAAAACATAAGTTCGCTGACTGAGTTACGATGCGTAATGTTGTTTGTTTACGCATGCGCAGTAAAGTTAAAAGTAAATAGGTTTGTCTATTGCCCGGTTCACACTTTTCCCCATCTATTAAACAGGAGTAAAGGTTTAACCATTGTTTCCTGTTTAGAATTGGCTTTCCAGTTCCTTCTAAATTCTTCTCATTCCTTTTCACTTGCAGTAATCCATTGCGTCTTAGTGGCATTATCGCCTTGCTTAGGGTGAAATGATTAAAAAGAGTATCCTTATAATGGTTGCTACGTTAAAGCCGCGCAATCGGTCCTCGAGAGCTTCAAAATGGTCAGAGGTTTTCTGGACAGACTCTGTACAATTTTAGAATGCACAAAAGAATGCATACAGGCAGGACTTACATTAATTTAAAAGTGCATATGCCAGTTTATACGCCTAACTCACTTTAAACACACATAAATACATATACATACACATTGACATTTGGAAGTAGACACAATCAACAATGGAACAACGTGAGGTCGCCATTAGCTTCCAAAAGCGGTTGTTCGTGATACTAGTTGCCATGGCATCCAACGTCAGTGCTTTTGTATCCCCCACCAACGAAGACGCTAACCAATTTCAAACGACAGCAAACAACTCGTCCCCCATTTCACACATTAAAAAAGCCAAAAACATAACCCCAAAACAAACAAATACAACCTCCCAATAGGACAGCCGTTTTCGTTCAAGAATTTTCACCTCGAGGCGAAATTGTTCCTCTATTCTCTCTTCCTTTTTTGTGATTGCTTACAAAACTCCAGTGTGTCTTCGTCCTCTCTTGGCCGCCATCTTTCTTTCTTTTCTTTTCCCGCCATTTTCTCGCTCCGCCCACTCTACATTTCCTGTTGTTCTTGTTGTTTATGCTCGTCTAATCGTCCAACGGAACATAGCCTTTCTCAGAAGAATATACAATATCATAGATGAGCGGGCGTTTTGTAGTCGTAATTTCCGCATGGTTAAGTCTGTTGACACGGGGTCAGGGACAAGATATTTCGTGTTTTATTCCAAACTTTGTGTCTTCTTTGTCAGTCAAACACAAGCCATCTGCTTTTAGCTTTTTTTTCCTGCAGTCTCCACAGCGTCCCACTATCATTCCATAATTCTGTCGGTGAATGTCCCCATTATTATTATTATTTGTTATTTCTAATTAGTACTTTGCTGCAGTTGTATTTCTATTTTCACTCTTTTTGTTCGACACCATTTTATTTACATTCTGTATTTTGCCTTCAGAGATGTTATCTTTCTTTTTATTTTATGGTATCTATCTATCTATCTATCTATCTATCTATCTATCTATCTATCTATCTATCTATCTATCTCAAGCTCACATTATCTATCTATCTATCTATCTATCTATCTATCTATCTATCTATCTATCTATCTATCTATCTTTCTGAAGCTCCTGTTATGTATCTATCTGAAGCTCACATTATCTATCTATCTATCTATCTATCTATCTATCTATCTATCTATCTATCTATCTATCTCATGCTCACATTATTTATGTATCTCAAGCTACTTTATCTATCTATCTATCTATCTATCTATCTATCTATCTATCTATCTATCTATCTATCTATCTATCTATCTCAGTTTCTCCTCATTTATCTGGACGCCTTGTCTGGTACTAATGTGTTAGTCTTGCTGAAAATTGCTGCTACGAAGTAAGTTAGATCCTCCACATTCGTAGCCTTGTGCCAAACTAAGCTAATTTCTGTAAATATTTGATCTTAATTTTATTTTGTTCATATCAATCTTGTATTTTTTCAATATTTCCTATGATTAGGTCTATGTTTAGCAAAAGATCAAATAGGAGGAAACAGAAGATTGTGTTGCCTCAGTCTGCCCTGCAGTGAAAACTTGTCTATCGATAAACTCAGCTTTAAACGGATTTAAAATTCTGTTTTTTTCCCCGGGTTCGAATATTGACCTCTATTTTTTGTCTCAGCCACGAAATCAGCCACTTGCAAAGTTTTCCTTTCATTCGTTTAATGTATTTTCTTCCTTTCTTTTTCTATTTCCTTTCTTATGTTTTATGTATTTTCTTTCTTTCTTTTTCTATTTTGTTTCTTTTGTTTGATGTATTTTCTTTTTTTCTTTTTCTATTTTCTTTCTTTCTTTTTTATTTTCTTTCTTTCTTTTTCTATTTCCTTTCTTTCGTTTTATGTATTTTCTTTTTTTCTTTTTCTATTTCCTTTCTTTTGTTTTATGTATTTTCTTTCTTTCTTTTTCTATTTTTTGTCTTTCGTTTTATGTATTTTCTTTCTGTCTTTCTTTTTCTATTTTCTTTCTTTCGTTTTATGTATTTTCTTCCTTTCTTTTTCTATTTTTTGTCTTTCGTTTTATGTATTTTCTTTCTTTCTTTTTCTATTTTCTTTCTTTCGTTTTATGTATTTTCTTCCTTACTTTTTCTATTTTCTTTCTATTTATGTATTTTCTTTCTTTCTTTTTCTATTTTCTTTCTTTCGTTTTATGTATTTTCTTTCTTTTCCTATTTTCTTTCTTTCTTTTTCTATTCTCTTTCTTTCTTTTTCTATTTTCGTTGTTTCGTTTTATGTATTTTCTTTCTTTCTTTTTCTATTTCCTTTCTTTCATTTTATGCATTTTCTTTCTTTTTCTATTTTCTTTGTTTCGTTTTATGTATTTTCTTTCTTTCATTTTCTATTTTCTTTCTTTCTTTTTCTATTTTCTTTCTTTCGTTTTATGCATTTTCTTCCTTTCTTTTTTATTTTCTTTCTTTCGTTTTATGTATTTTTTTTCATTCTTTTTTTATTTACTTTCTTTCGTTATATGTATTTTCTTCCTTACTTTTTCTATTTACTTTCTTTCGATTTATGTATTTTCTTTCTTTCTTTTTCTATTTTCTTTCTTTCGTTTTATGTATTCTCTTCCTTTCTTTGTCTATTTATTTTCTTTCGTTTTATTTATTGTTTTCCTTTTTTTTCTATTTTCTTTCTTTCGTTTTATGTATTTTCTTTCTTTCTTTTTCTATTTTCTTTCTTTCTTTTTCTATTTTCTTTCTTTCGTTTTATGTATTTTCTTCCTTTCTTTTTTATTTTCTTTTTTTCGTTTTATGTATTTTCTTTCTTTCTTTTTCTATTTTCTTTCTTTCGTGTTATGTATTTTCTTTCTTTCTTTTTCTATTTTCTTTCTTTCTTTTTCTATTTTCTTTGCTACATTTTATGTATTTTCTTTCTTTTTCCATTTTCTTTCTTTTTCCATTTTCTTTCTTTCGTTTTATGTATTTTCTTTCTTTCTTTTTCTATTTTCTTTCTTTCGTTTTATGTATTTTCTTCCTTTCTTTTTTATTTTCTTTCTTTCGTTTTATATATTTTCTTTCTTGCTTTTTCTATTTTCTTTCTTTCGTTTTATGTATTTTTTTCCTTTCTTTTTTATTTTCTTTCTTTCTTTTTCTATTTTCTTTCTTTCGTGTTATGTATTTTCTTTCTTTCTGTTTCTATTTTCTTTCTTTCGTTTTATGTATTTTCTTTCTTTCTTTTTATATTTTCTTTCTTTCTTTTTCTATTTTCATTCTTTCTTTTTCTATTTTCTTTGTTTCGTTTCATCTATTTTCTTTCTTTCTCTTTCTATTTTTTTTCTTCCGTTTTATGTATTTTATTTCTTTCATTTTCTATTTACTTTCTTTCGTTTTATGTATTTTCTTCCTTTCTTTTTCTATTTTTGTGTTTCGTTTTAAGTATTTTCTTTCTTTCGTTTTATGTATTTTCATTCTTTCTTTTTCTATTTTCTTTGTTTCTTTTAACTATTTTCTTTGTTTCTTTTAACTATTTTCTTTGTTTCTTTTTCTATTTTCTTTCTTCCGTTTTATGTATTTTCTTCCTTTCTTTTTCTTTTTTTTGTCTTTCGTTTTATGTATTTTCTTTCTTTTTGTATTTACTTTTTTTCGTTTTATGTATTTTCTTCCTTTCTTTTTCTATTTTGGTTCTTTCGTTTTATGTATTTTTTTCTTTTTCTTTCTTTCGTTTTATGTCTTTTCTTTCTTTTTCTATTTAATTTCTTTCGTTTTATGTACTTTCTTCCTTTATTTTTTCTATTTTTTGTCTTTCGTTTTATGTATTTTCTTTTTTTCTTTTTCTATTTACTTTCTTTCGTTTTATGTATTGTCTTCCTTTCTTTTTCTATTTTTTTGTTTCGTTTTATGTATTTTCTTTCTTTTTTTCCTATTTTCTTACTTTCTTTTTCTATTTTCTTTCTTTCGTCTTATGTATTTTCTTTCTTCCTTTTATCTATTTTCTTTCTTTCTTTTTCTATTTTCTTTCTTTCGATTTATGTATTTTCTTTCTTTCTTTTTCTATTTTCTTTCTTTCGTTTTATGTATTGTCTTCCTTTCTTTTTCTATTTTCTTTCTTTCTTTTTCTATTTTCTTTCTTTCGTTTTATGTATTGTCGTCCTTTCTTTTTCTATTTTCTTTCTTTCTTTTTCTATTTTCTTTGTTTCGTTTCATGTATTTTCTTTCTTTCTTTTTCTATTTTCGTTCTTTCATTTTATGTATTTTCTTTCTTTCTTTTTCTATTTTTTCTTTCTTTTTCTATTTACTTTCTTTCGTTTTATGTATTTTCTTCCTTTCTTTTTCTATTTTTTGTCTTTCGTTTTATGTATTTTCTTTCTTTTTGTATTTTCTTTCTTTCGTTTTATGTATTTTTTTCTTTCTTTTTCTATTTTCTTTCTTTCGTCTAATGTATTTTCTTTCTTTTTCTATTTTCTTTGTTGCGTTTTATGTATTTTCTTTCTTTTTTTCCTATTTTCTTTCTTTCTTTTTCTATTTTTTTCTTTCGTTTTATGTATTTTCTTTTTCTTTTTTCTTTCTTTCGTTTTATGTATTTTCTTTCTTTCTTTTTTCCATTTTCTTTCTTTCGTTTTATGTATTTTCTTTCCTTCTTTTTCTATTTTCTTTCTGTCGTTTTATGTATGTTCTTTCTTTCTATTTCTATTTTCTTTCTTTCGTTTTATATATTTTCTTCCTTTCTTTTTCTATTTTCTTTCTTTCGTTTTATGTATTTTCTTTCTTTTTCTATTTTTTCTCTCTTTTTATGTATTTTCTTTCTTCAAATATTCAAGTGTAATGTCAATCGACATCTGGCACCTTGAGCTTGTTCCCCGTCCTCATCCGTGCCCTTTCCTAAGACGCCCCTCTTTGCTCTTGTTTTCAATTCTCTGTAACCCTTTGCGTGATAATAGCACTCCCACCCTGCTTGGGGTGAATTGCCTTAAAAAATAATTAAATGAATATGTAACTGCAAGAGAGACTAATGATATAATCAAGATATTAACATTTCACACCACTTCAAATAAAGGTTAGGAAGGAAACCCCCATCAATACTGGAAAGAGCAATAACAGCTATTGGATTTGGCAAAACTTTTTTTCATAAAAAATGTTATAAGAAAAATATATAACTTTAACAGAAAGCAGTATTGGCTGCTTGGTCAATGAATGCCAAATGTTTCCTTATAGGGAAACGGCTATTATTATCATTATCATTTCACTGAATCAGACCTTAAAAATCGATACTGTTATCGATTTCTTTCACTCTTTCTTTCTTTCTATATACACATATATACATCTAAATGACGTTTGCCGGAATTTTAAAAAAAGTTTAGAGATTTATTTTGTCCACTGCTGCTATACCAATAATTTATGCGCAGGGAACAGACAAGCCTTTACAAGGCTTAACGTACGTTTTAACTAATTAGGGAACATGCAGAATTCTAATAAGATAATAAATATATGGTAACCAAAAAATTCTTTGCCGTTTTTTTTTACGTGGTGTGTAAAGAAGTGATCACTGATACTGAAATGAGTGCGTCACGTGCCGGGAAAGCGGTAGGGATTGGAGTTGTGGCATTGCTCTTGACCAATGCAGGTGTGTTGCGTACACACACTGGTCATAGCTCGAACAGCGGCGGGCAAAACATGACGGTGTCGAAGCAGCTCGTTCCGGGTTGTCTGTTTTATGACTTTAAGGTGGGCTTGTTCGCAGCCGCATCAAGTCGCCGAATACGTCAAGCCTTTGGGAATAATGCTATCAGTGAACGCACGGCCAGGCATTGGTTCTAGAAGTTCCGGTCGGGAGATCTGTCCTTTTGTGATGAACCCCACTGTAGTTGGCCACATGTCCTGGATGATGAGTCCCTGAAGGCGGTCATGGTGGACGACAACAGCCAAACCCGTGGTGAGCTTACCGAACTCTTCCAGGTTTCTGATGAAGCAGTCAGACTTCACTTGAACCGCATAAGAAAGGCGTACAAGTTGAGCAAGTGGGTACCCTACTCACTATTGACAGCCAACGAGTGACAGCCTCTTCCTAGTTGCTTTCTCGGCACCGCAACGTACCCATATTTGATCGAGTGCTCACCAGTGACGAAAAGTGGGTCCTGTATGACACTCCCAATATACTAGACATTAGTCGTCACACCGAGACCCTATGCCTCACACCTCGAGACCATCTCTACAGCCACTCAAGATTATGCTCTATATCTGGTGGAAGAGTCGACAAGTGGTGAAACCATCAGTGCGGACCTGTACTCGCAGAAGTTAAAACGTGTGCCATAGGTACTGAAGCAGAAGGAGCCAGCATTGGTTAATCGCAAGGGTATACTCTTCCTCCATGACAATGCGAGGATTCATGTGGCTCGCTGGCCAGGGATACCGTACGGCGACTTGGTTGGGAAACACTGTGCCTGCCACCTTATTCCCCGGACCATGCGTAAACAGATTACTACCTCTTCCGTTTTCTGGACAACCACCCTCGTGGGAAATACTTCGCAAATTCGGCAGATTTCGACATGCACTTACAAACTTATTTGTGTCCAAGACAACTGATTTTTACCACCAGAGCATTGGCAGCTGGATGCACATTGGCAAAAGGTTTTCAATGCCGATGGGGATTACTTTGAGAACTAACTCTGTGTCAAATTTGCCGTATACCTTTTTTCTAATAAATCAAAAACGGTAATAACTTTTGGTTTGGTTTGTTTTGTTTTGCGGCATATCACCCTCAATGGGTTATTTAATGTCGACAAGATTTTTATTGCTGCTAATATTTTTTTAAAAATGTGTTGATGGTAATATTTTTAAAAAAAATGTATTGATGGTAATACATTTTTAATGTATTGCTGGTAACATTTTTTACAAAAATGTATGGCTGGTAATATTTTTTCTTTAAAATATATTTCTGGTATTAAAACCAATTTTTACACTTTCATAGTGTTTTGACCCCAGTTTGGGTTTAACTAGTTGCCCATAGTTGGGACCTTAACACGTGCTACCACCCCGGGTGAAGATGAACCTGGGAATACCAGAAATTAAGAGGTGGTTCCACGCTTCTCAAAAAACCCTGATCAGAGGCCTTGCTGTCAGATGTAGTTCATCGTTTTATCCAGGACGCGGGTGTTGTTTATCGTCATACCCAGGAGGTAATAGCTTTTTTAGTTTAATTTAAATAATTGCATTATAAGAGTCTTATCGTTATGGGTTTCTTGTCCTCGGATATAGTAACCTATGGTTGAGATGGAAAACATGCAGGTCAGTAAGAGCTATAAGTTGATTAGTTCTACACGCTAAGTATCCTTGGGTTATTTAATATCGAATTTTTCATAGGACACCTAGTAAGAATCGAACTCGCTACTCAGTCTTAATGGTCAATCAGACGAGCTCTTTGTAGTTAGGTTGATTTTACGATATGTCAATTCTTGTTTTATTTAATGTAAAATTTTGTATGGGGCACCCAATGAGGATCGAAGTCACTACTCAGTCATAATGGCTATTTAGACCATCTTCACTAACCATTACCCTATTTAGACTACGGCCACGTCACGTTGAAACATCGGTTCACGTACGATCAGCGAAATTAAGCAATGTCGGGCCCAGTCAGTACTTAAATTGGGTGACCGCTTGGGAATATAAGGTGCTGTAAGCTTGGATGTGCGGATGGTGTAATGGATAACGGCTTAAAATTGTTAATCAGAGAGCCAAGTTCCAATTCCCGTTGGGTTCGTTATATTCATTTACGCGCAAATACACTTGGGAAAGTTATGAATACACCTCTTCTCCCCTCAGCTATCGGTTAATTAGTAAGATGTCTATCACTAAACCATTATAATCTAAAACTGATTCTTATAATCTAAAAGTATTTTCTGGCTTTAAATAACCTACAACGGGTTGATAAGTCGTAAGAAACAAATCAATTAGTCAATAAACGTTACCCTATTTAGTTAGGTTAGATTGATTTTACATGTCAGTCATTGTTTATTTAATGTCGATCTTAGTATAGGGCACCTAGTGTGTATGGAACTCACTACTCAGTCGTACTGGTCATCTAGACTAGTTTTGTTAACCATTGCAATGTTCAATTAGGGTAGATTGATTTTATACCATGTCAATGTTTATGACTTATTTCGTGTTGAATATAGCAAGCGGCACTCAGTAAGGATGACAATCACTTCTCAGTTGCAATGGTCAACAAGCTTAGCCTCGCTAATCACTGCTTTATTTAGTTACTTTATGTTGATTTTATGACATGTTGGTTCATTCAATGTCGAATTTTGTATAGGACATCCACTGAGAATGGAAGTCACTACTCAGTTGTAAATAGTCAACAAGATAAGCATCGCTAATCATTAGCTCACGCCAAGGTGCCCATAGAATTGATTTCAATTGTATGTCACTGGCTTAATGTCATATCCGTGTCGTCAGTTTTTTTTTTAATGATTTTTATGTTTATCATAGCTTGGCTTCAGCCAAATGATGTTATACTTCAGTTGCTTTCAATTGCATCTGTTGGATACTAAGACTTGCGAGTTCTGAGATATCACTCTTCGTCTACAATGAACTACTGAGTTTATCATTCATTCTTGATAGCCATTTAATTATATATATATATATATATATATATATATATATATATATATATATATATACACACGCCTATGTGTATGTATATACGTGTATATGTTATTGTGTATGTGTGTATTCGCATGTGTTTTTGAACATAAAAATATAGGTCCTTGCTAGATTAGATAATCGTTATATTTATTTTTATATGTTTATATTTGATTTGTAACCTGTAGTCGATATTAAATTTGTCAAATTCTCTCAATTACACAGCGGCCATTTCAGTAAATGTCCTTCAATTTTAGTTTCCCCCGCCCCATCTCTCTCCCCCACCTCTTCTTTCCTTTCCTCTCCCTCCCTCTTATTCTGATCTTCAACATTAGAACGTCTATGGTGTGTGTATGTCACCACGAAATGTATCTTTTATGTATTAGACATCCGATAACATTCATATTTCTCTTACTTAAACCCATTCCACTCACCTCTCCTAAAATTCTCTCTGTTAAGGTTTAATCTCCCTCTTTCTCTCGTCTGTTACCCCTCTCTTTAGCTCTAACATTCGTCCCACACTCTCATACTTACTCTCTCTAAATTCTGTTTTTATTTCCGGAGTTATTTTTTTTCTGTTTTCTTTTTTGAATTTGTAGGTCTGATGAATTGGATCGTATTTACGATTCAAATGGAATAAATTATGACCATGGAATATTAGTGTTTAAGCCTTTTTATTATATCCTTACTCTGTCCTGGACACTGAGTTCTACCTGGATTCTATCCTCTTGGGATTTTTATTAAAAAAATATACATGTATGTGTATGCACCTATGTATATATATTTATATATTTTGCATATGTATGTGTATATTTACCACTAATATTATCAATTATATATATATATATATAAAGTCTCAAACACTAATACACCCCTGGTCAAAATCTTAAGACCAGATACAAAAGGGTTAAAAAAAACAAATAAATTACTGTTACTTTAATCAAAATATATTTGCGAAACATTTACATTTAATTAGAAAATGTAGTTTATCAACAAACAAGTGAACATTTTAAGCTTTTAATTGATTAATTTAAATAAACATTGAAAAAGGATTTTTTGAGGATAATTCCTGTATAATTTTGAACCGAACAAAAACAAAAGAAAATGCATGAAAAAATAATGAAATATTCTTATATTTGTAAATAGGTTTATACGACCAAATATCTGCCATTTTGTTCCACTGCCATTCACCATCTTTGACGCAGCTTCATAATTCCATCCTCCCAGAACTTGGCATCTTTCTGGTTGTTGAAGTGGTTTGCACAGATTTCCAGATAATTAAAGTTCTTCCCATTAAGAGATTTTTGTCGAAATCATAATAAGTGAAAATCATGAAATGTAAGTTCAGTTGAGTATTCCAAAGATAATGGGATATCTCAGCCATGCTGTACCAATTTCAGTAGTGTTTTTAAAGAGACGTGGGGTCTGGCGCTTTTTTTTTTGACAGAAGACGACACTTTTCCGATTGGCCAATCCTGGATTCTTTTAATCGATTGCTGCCTTTAATCAGTCCAGCTTTCTCTGCTTTCAAAGTTTGATTTTGTGGAAAGAGTACGTAACACAAAATGCCGTTCCAATCCTACCAGAAACACATCACTGGGTACGGAGGGTGCAGTAGGACATCCCAGCCAAGCTGTAACAATTTATGTCGGATCTGCATTGAAAGATCCGAGGTCTCGCTTGTTTTGAAAGGAAACGACATCCTTCCCAGTTGTCATTTCCGGGCGCTTCTCATTCTTTAAGTCTTGCCTATTAAGGTTAAACTAAGAACTACTTTTTTCTGAAGTCAACTTCTGATTTTGCCAAAGGAGCTCGTAACACAAAATGCCCTTCCAATTCTTCCAGATAAACATTCTTTCGAATGCAGAACAGCTTTTGAAGCGACCAATGCTAGATCTTTTCTTTTCTTCCAGGACATTTTCCCGCTCCACATTGTTGTAAACAATTCATGTTTGTCATCGTGTCCTTTTTTTGTTTTTCATAAAATAAAAATCGGTCGTTTTCGTTGAGTTTAAGCAAAGACTAGCAGACGGAAATACGGTCCATTCAATTTATGTTCGTTAAATCATTATCACCCAGAAATCGAATCACTTCGAGTGTTTTCAAATGCCTTACATGAGATATGAGATATGTTGATTGTTTCTGCGACGTGTCATTACCTATAAACTGGAAGATTCTTTTTTTATCAGTCTTTCTGTTGAAACTTGAATAAAGCATGGAATAATAATAATACAACACAAAATGTACTTAAACAAAATGTATTGACACAAGAACGTGTACACAATATTTACAGATAGTTTGGTATATTCTTGGGAAGACCGTTCCTGTAGAATGGGTCGACATTAGTCGCAGTCGGGCAGAGTCTCTGGATTGGATCTCTTCTTCCTCTCCCGTCTTCCCGGTACCAACCATATTTATATGGTCGGTACTCCACTATGTAAATTAGGTGGATCGTACCACAACACTTTCCATATGGTCGTCATCAATGACTGCAGGTTTGCCGGAACGTTCTTAGTTTTCAACATAAAAATTATGAAAAACAACTCCCGAACAGTATTCTAAGCTTGGCATCATCTCCATAAATGGCACATATTTTTTCATCGGTTTCTGCCTTTAATCAGCCCAACTGGGAACAATAATTCAACGTCTGATTTAGCGGAAGGAGATCGTAACATACAATGCCATCCCAATCCAACCAGATACGCAGCATTAACATTTTCGTGTGTAAATCGGCGTTTGGCGTGGTTAACGGTGATTCATTTCGTTTTCATCAGCATATTCTTTGCTCTCCATTATCGTAAAGAATCCACTTTTCGTCGTCTTTGATCACTTTTGTTTTCAAAAACAGGTAGTTTGTGATATTGACATACTCAAGTGTTCTCAAATGTCATGAGATATATGGAGTATCTCTGCGATATCGCGAGTCATGTGACTTTGATCGTCTTTTAACCAACAATTCGATTTGGTAATCATCAACGTTCGTCTAGTTTAGTGTTACTGACTCACGGGAAGTAGTATTCACTCAACCGCCTTATGGGCGGACGGGCTTTTCGATCATGCAGCATGTGGTACTGTCCTATAACTTAGCAACAATCTAGGAAGAAATGTTTATATCTTTTCTTTCCGTTGTACACATATCAATCTTTTTTATAGTTTACACCATCTTTTCAGCTAATCCATTGGATTGCTGATGTTACAGAGGGGTGTATAGGGTTTGCACCCAATTTTGTTCCATTGGCATAGTTTCTTGTCACAGAACTCTGGGGCATTATCAAATACTAACGTTTTCGGAATTCCATTTCATGAAAATATGATCCTTAACGCTTGCTTCACGGTCGGACTTCTTTTGTTGGAGACCTGTATTACTTCTGGTCAACCTGAATACAAATCTACCAATATTAATAATAATTCCACTCCATTAACATAGGCATGATCCATGTGTATTCTGTCCCAAGGCTGGGATTCTTTAGGCCATGTATGTGTTTTTGTCTGTCGAATTTTCTTTCATTGCACATTTTACACATTTTTATGTATTCTTCTACATCTGCAGAATACCATGACCACCATGTTTCTAGCCTTAATCTCCTTTGTGTAGATGTTATTCCACAATGGACATCATCATGTATACTCTTTTCACTGGTGGCATAAGACATGGTCAGTGGGGCTCTAATTTGTCTACTCATGATGGAAGCTGGGCTTTTTGATCTTCCAGAATGTGGTATTCTCAAATAACTGAGCAACAATCTAGGAAGAAATGTTCCTTTTTTTTTCTGCTGTACATATATTTTCAATCTGTTTTTTATAGTTTGCACAATCCTTTCTGCTAATCCAATTGATTGTGGATGGTATGCCGAGGTTTTATATGGTCTGCATCCAATTTTGTCCAACCTTTGACATGGTTCTTCATCACAGAACTCTGGTGCATTATCAGATGCTAGCATTTTCAGAATTCCATTTTGTGAAAATATGATCCTTGATGCTTGTTTCACAGTCAATCTTCTTTTGGTATTACTTCTGGCCAGCCTGAATGAAAATTACCAATATTAATAATAATAATCCCAATCCATGAACATAGGCATGATCCATGTGTATTCTGTCCCAAGCTTGGGACTCTTTAGTCTATGTATGTGTTTTTTTCTGTCTAAATGTTTTTCATTGCACATAACTAGCAATAACTGAGCAGTACGAAAGACATAATTGCGAGATCGATCTCTGGGGCATGGTAGTGTAGACAGAGATTCAGTGGAAAACGGGATAAGAATAGCTGAGCAGTACAAAAGATGTGATTGTGGGTTCAATACTTTGGTCAGGTAGCACAGACGAAGATTTAATGGAATCTGGGATAGGAATAACTGAGCAGCCGTAATTGTGAATTCAAACACTCTGCCAGGTAGAACAGACGGAGATTCAGTGGAAATAGGGCAAGCAGTAACTGGGCAGTACGAAAGAAGTAAAGGTGAGTTCAATCCCTGTCGCGGGTAGTAGAGACTGAGACTAGTGGAATGGTGACTAGCAATAATTGAGCTGTACTAAAGATGTAATTATGAGTTCAAACTCTGGGTCTGTTTAGCAAAGACGGAGATTCAGTGGAAACAGAGCTAGCAGTAACTGAGCAGTACTAAATTTTTAATTTTGAGTTCAATCCCGGTGGCCGGTAGTATAGACGGAAGTTCAGTGGACACCAGGCTAGCAATAACTGAGCAGTACGAAAGAAGTAAAAGTGAGTTCAATCCCTGGGAGGGTAGTACAGATGGAAATTCAGAGGAAAACAAGCTAGCACTAACTGAGCAGCAATAAAGATGTGATCTTGTGTTCAATCTCTTGGCCAGGTAAGCCTAGATGGAGAGTCAATGGAAACCGAGCTAGCATTATCTGAGCAATACTAAAGTTTTAACTGTGAGTTCAATCCCTGGGCCAGGTAGTTCAGACTGAAATTCAGTGGAAACCGGGTCAGCGGCAACTGAGTAATACTAACGATATAATTGCGAGTTCAATCCCTTGGCTAGGTAGTACAGAAGGAAATTCAGTTTAAAGCTTACAAGCAATAATTGAGGTATACTAAAGATTTAATTGTGAGTTTAGTCCGTGGGCTTGGTGGTACCGATGGTTATTCTGTGGAAAAATGACTATGAATAACTGAGTTGTACCAAAAATGTAATTGTGAGTTCAATCTCCGACCCGGGGAATCCAAACACAGATTCAGTGGAACTAAGCAGTACTAAAGACGTAATTCCGTGTTCAAGGCCTCAGTAGAAATAGGACCAGCAATAACTGAGCCCAACTAAAAAAAAAAAAAATGCATAAGATGATCTACTCCTAGATATGGACGTCGTAACGTGAACAACTTACACCCGTACATTAAATGAAGCGTTCATTTCGAAATTCCCCTGAGGTTACCCGGATCGATAGGCAACTGAAGAAGGCCGGAGGAGAAAACCACCAAAACGATTTGATGAAGACAACAAAGACTTGAACATTAATCCAAATGTAAATAATGGTAAATCCTCATGCTACAAATTCAAACTGAAAATGATCGAAATCGTTCAACTGTGATGAGCTTGACTGAATTTTCACCACTGTCCCAACAGGTGTCACTTTCAATTATTTGTTGATGAACGCGTTTAATTATTAATTAGTGACAAGAGAGAAGCCTAAATAAAATTCGGTATCGAATGACTCCGGTTTCGTTTCGTTTGGACAGGCTGTAAACGGTCGAACAAAATAAGAACTGGACATCGGTTGAAAACAGCGAAATGGAAGTTGGGAGGTAAGTATTAAAATGGACAAAAGAGATATGTTATTTCACATGTGTAATTGTCATTTCCTGATGGGATCATTGAAAACATAATTTATAATTAATTTCTTTTCTTTGGATTAATTGTCTCCCTTTCTTCGTTGATTACAGCAGCAGTTCACAGAGTTTTCAGTTTATTCATAATTTGTGTTTTCGCAATTCACTTGACGTTTACTTTCTATTGTTTGTTCTGTTTTCTTTCTTTCACGTTTTTTTTTGTTTTTAATTTCCTATCTTTCCTTTCTTTCGTCTTCTTATCTAGTTCTTTCTTTCTTTATTTATTTATTTATTTATTTATTACCAATTTTTTCTTTCTTTCTTTTTCTTTCTTTCTTTCTTTCTTTCTTTCTTTCTTTCTTTATTTATTTATTTATTTATTTATTTATTTATTTTCTTTTCTTTTCAATCACTTTTCTCTATATCTTTCTTTCTTTCTTTCTTTCTTTCTTTCTTTCTTTCTTTCTTTCTTTATTTATTTATTTATTTATTTATTACCAATCACTTTTCTTTCTTTCTTTCTTTCTCTCTTTCTTTCTTTCTTTCTTTCTTTCTTTCTTTCTTTCTTTCTTTATTTATTTATTTATTTATTTATTACCAATCACTTTTCTTTCTTTCTTTCTTTCTTTCTTTCTTTCTTTCTTTCTTTCTTTCTTTCTTTCTTTCTTTCTTTCTTTCTTTGTTTATTTATTTATTTATTTATTACCAATCACTTTTCTTTCTTTCTTTCTTTCTCTCTTTCTTTCTTTCTTTCTTTCTTTCTTTCTTTTTTCTTTCTTTGTTTATTTATTTATTTATTTATTACCAATCACTTTTCTTTCTTTCTTTCTTTCTCTCTTTCTTTCTTTCTTTCTTTCTTTCTTTCTTTCTTTCTTTCTTTCTTTCTTGTTTCCTTTGTTTCATATTTTCTTTTGTTTTTAATTAATTTTGTCTGTTTGTTTGTTTCTTTCGTTTTTTTCTTTCTTTCTTTCCATTTGTTCCAGCTTACTTAATTTTCTAATTTAATTTAATCTACTTCTTTGTTTATTGTTTGCTTGTTTATTGTTTGTTTGCTTCTTTGTTTATTATTTGTTTGCTTGTTTTATTTCCTTTTTTGTTTTGCTTTTGGTTACCTTCTTGCACATTTTTCTTTTATTTTTATTTCACTTTCCTTTTTATCTTCTTTCTTTCTTTCTTTTTTCTTTCATCTTTTTTCTTTCTTGCACATTTTTCTTTTATTTTTATTTCACTTTCCTTTTTATCTTCTTTCTTTCTTTCTTTTTTCTTTCATCTTTTTTCTTTCTTGCACATTTTTCTTTTATTTTTATTTCACTTTCCTTTTTATCTTCTTTCTTTCTTTCTTTTTTCTTTCATCTTTTTCTTTCTTGCATTTTTTCTTTTATTTTTATTTCACTTTCCTTTTATCTTCTTTCTTTCTTTCTTTTTTCTTTCATCTTTTTTCTTTCTTGCACATTTTTCTTTTGTTATTAATTTATTATCTTTCCTTTCTCTCGTTTTATCTTCTTTTTCAGTATTTCTTTCGAGTTTAATTTAATTTTTCCTACTTTTACTTTCTATCTTTCTTTTTTTTTCTTTTAACTCCTCTTTTTTCTCTTTTCTTTCATCTTTATTCCTTTATATTTTGTCATCTCCTTAATTTTCTTTGATTTTTCTCGCAACCCTTAATTTCATTCCAATTCAGTTTGTTTTATGTTTTTTACAAAAATAAATAAATAAAAATAAGCAAGCAAATAAAAAAAATGCCTTGTGCAAATTTTTCCTCTCATGCATTTTCTCTCTTAGTTTTTTAAGTAATTATAGTGTCCTGACAATGATGTAAATAAACATTGAAATATCATCAAAACTAGTTACACGATCTCGTTTGTTAATTAAAAACGGATAAACTGCAAGTATGTTTTTTAAGAGTTGCTTTAAAGTATAGATGTACAGATGGTGTAATGGTTAGCATCTCGGAACGAGAAATTGGCGACCCGTGTTCGTATTCCGACCGAGTCCGTTACATCCACTTTGACACAAATACCCTCAGTAAAAGGTATGAATCAGTTTCTTCCCCACCCCAGCTATGAGTTAAATAGTACGACAGGATGGACTATACAGCCATGATTATTCTCTAGTATAGTAGGACAACTCTGAATTCAAAACCATAGGACACATAATTAAATTGTAACTAATATCCGCTCAGCATCGTTGCAGTATAACGACTGTAATAGTATTGACTATAGGTTGGCTCTATGAGTGTTGAAACACAAATGGGCCTGGACAGATAGGCTGAATATAAAAAAATCACACTGATTCGCAGGAAAACTTCAGTGCGGATGAGGATTTACGGTTTGGTTTATTTTGTTTTACGGTATATCAACCTCAATGGATTATTTAATGCCGACAAGATTTTTATTGCTGGTAATATTTTCCCCAAAAATGTATTGCTTGCAATATTTTCCATTAAAAATGTATTGCTGTTAATACTTTTTTCCTTCAAAAATGTATTGCTGGCAATATTTCTTTCTCTGAAAAATGTATTGCTGGCAATATTTTGTTCTTTTGAGCCGAATTCAGCACAGAAAAACTGTTTACACAACCAGATTACCATAATCCTTCGTATAAATCGATAGGAGTATAAGAAAATAAGAAAAATATCAGAGAAATGTTATTTTCATGTATAAAACGCTCCTGACTTTAGACCAAAGAAAATGACCAAAATGAAGAGAAAAAGTGACCCCCACAAAAAAAAAAAAAAAAAACAAAAAACGGGACATTTTGTTTACTTTTGTGATTCGTAAGCATTGCGAAAATGTGATAATGACTCTTGGGGTAGAAGACCACTAAATCGCCAATACACATTGAGGAAATACATCGAGGTGAAATTGAATGAGTACACGCGGGGTTTAGGGACCAGAACCGGCCGCGAATAGTTAGAATCCGCGAATACTTGTCCCCACCCCCTAAAAATGCTTGTAAGTATCAAACCTCATAATACCTTAAACTTTCATACTAAACACTTTAGAAACATTTCAGACACTTTTAAAAACATTTTTGAAAAATAGTGTTGTGACCATACACTTAGCGCAAATTTTCTTTCATACGTACAATAACCGTTTTTAATTACAGATAGATCAATTTTTACCATAAAATGGACTGTTATATGTTTTAAGTCATTTAAATAACAGGAAAATAATACAAGAATATTTTAAATAATTTCTATAAAAAAATATGCAAATCGAGGGAGTTCTCAGCGAATAATTTGTACATATGTTCTTTAGAAAAACAGGCGAATATTCGGGGTTTCCGCGAATAACAAGTACATATGTTCTAAAGAAAAAAATCAACGAATTTATGAAGCCGTGAACGCTGAAACATGAATAAGCGGGGACTCATTGTATATGAATATAAATATTAATGTTTATATAAATGAATAAATGTTTGTTTTGTTGATTTTAATTTTTTTGTGACAATCTAAGTTATTTCTTTGCATTTTTTTTTTTTTTTTATCTCAAATGAAAAAAATAAATTTTACCTTTTAATGATAACAGAACTCACATAGTTACCTCGAATTCGGAAAAAGTACGGAACCAAACGAGACTTAATTAAACCTTATGAAGGATTTATTTACCTTTCTTGACATCAGAAATATGTCTTCGGTAAACAAATAAATCCATTTTGACCGTATTTTGTCCGTTTTGAATTCTGGGAAAAATAGAACTGAGTTCTACACTAAAGTATAAGATGCAGCAGACTTTTGGGCACGATTTTGGATGTAAAAACCCAAGTCTTATGCATACACGATTACGATATCTCTTTCGGTGCTTCCTGTTAGCCATTTGTTAGTGTACTGAGTATTATCTACATGGGATATCCAATTTATTAGGTACCCATAGAATATTGATCGAAGTGCTTGCTTCTAATCTTGCAATTGTTAACACAATTTTTCGACTGATCCATTTTTCAGGCGTCATCCGGCACACACCAAACCCACCCCACACACACAGAGACAGGGAGAGACAACATACGAACCTTTTATATCCAAGGAAATATTGATTTATTAATCGCAGCTTAAATGTGAAACAAGGCCGCATGTATGGGACCTCGCTGAGGATCGAATTCGCTTCTTCTTCTATGTGCGGTGTTCTTTTAGTACGTTGACGATCATGCCTCTCCTTAAGTTCCTGTCCTTTGTAGCTGTTAATATTTTTTCTTTTTGTTATCTCTCCTAAATTTTGTTCCGCCATCCATTTACTCAAGTTCGCTAGGTAGGTAATGCGTTGTTTTCCTTTGTCCCTCTTGTCTTCAGTTTGTCCTGTGAGTATCACATTTTCCAAGCCCTCTTTCCTCATAATGTGCAATAGAAATTTCAACTGTCTCGTCCTGATGTTAAGTATGTGTTATTTTTGTTTCCATTTTCTCTAAAATTTTGTTGTTGCTCACATGTTTGGTTCATGGTATTCTCAGCATCCTTCTGTAGACCTACATTTCTGTTGTTTCAAGTCTCTTCTTCATCTGTGAGGAGATTATCCAGCATTACTCAGTCATAATTGATCTAGCGAGAGAAATTTGCTCACCATTAGACCACGTCGAAATACCCACACCCAAGGAAACAATGATCTACTAAGCGTAGCATAGAAACTAATATAAAGTCGCAAATACAGAGTGGGGTTCGAGTTCACTACTTCAGTCGTAATTGATCTCAAGAAACAAAATTGCTAACCATTAAGCCACATTGAAGTGCCGCGTTCACCCCCAAATACTAAGCTAGTGACGAAAATTACTCATTAATATACCTAACAGACCGAACCATTTCTACGTCGTTTGTTACAGAACGTTTCCAAGTGATTTCAAATTATGACTAAGGGATACGGTTCCCCAGCATCCATTTTGCTCAGCAAAGAAAACTACATAGTGTTGAAATCCCGTACTAGCTCAGCTTGACTTATCTGATTGAGCGGCCGATATCTGCCGCCTCTTTCAATTTTCTTACTCTACAGTGGCACTCCTTGTCATTTAAATGGTCTTCATTCTCGTGAGTGTAATGCGTACCATTCTCTATCTAGTTATGGTTCACCAAGTCAATTTACATCTGCATATATCTTTCTTATGTTCCCCGAGTTTGACCTTAAAAGAATAGCTGATCCCCCACCCATTATGTAACTTATCACATATGCATAGTATGTTATAAATGCAGTTTTATGTTTTTATCTTCTAAGGGGCTAACTCTAGTGAGAATTTTACAATAGGTAGTGTTGCCTTTAAACCCTCACACTGATATAATGCTGAACTCTTCTGGCGTCTCTTGTACATAAGGAATACTTGCCATTATAGTTGTACTGTTTTCTTTCAAGTCGCGGTAGGGAAGAGGAGACAGCTTATTCCATTATTCCCATTACAGGCTATCTCATATTAGTTAAGTTGAACATGGAGAAGCTGGAGCACAACCACGAATTACATAACAGAAGATAAAACTAATATGAGTTATCTCCCTTAGCATTGACATTCAAATAACAGAATACTTTTGTGTACTGAATAAAGGTACGAATTAAAATCCCTAAAAGGTCAGAGGAGACAATGGCCAGAATATTGTGACTATTATAATCAAGATGAGGACAACAGTTCGAATAGATTAGGACATACAGTGTAACCCGGATATAAGAGACCCGGATATAAGAGAAACCCGGATATAAGAGAGAGTTTCTCTGGTCCCAAATTAGAGCCTGTGTTAATGTATATAAAATAGACCAAACCCGGATATAAGAGAAACCCGGATATAAGAGACTTCTTCTCCGGTCCCGACAACTCTCTTATATCCGGGTTACACTGTATTAATAATACCTCATAGAAATTCAGGACGAAGTGATCGATGTGGTAGTTACTATTTTCACCAAGTGTTTTCATCTCTCTCTCTCTTTCACTCTCCTTCTTTATATATTTTACTCTTTCTCTACGTTATTCTTTATATCTTTTCTTCATTGTCATCCTCGCTTCTTTTCTTTTTAATTTTCTATTTTGTTCTGCTTTTCTTTTTTTTTATTTCAACCTCTTTCTTTTTCTTTACTTCTTTTTTATTCCTTTTCTTTTTCTTCTTTTTACTTCTTTTTCTTTTTAACCTTTTTTCTTTACTTTTTATTCTTTTTTCTTTTTCATTTTATTCCTTTTCTTTTTATTCTCTTTTCTTCCTTTTCTTTTTATTATTCCTTTTTTTTAATTATTTTTTTAGTTTTTCACTCTTTTCTTCTTGTTTTTACTTTTATATTTTTCTTTGGGTTTTTTTTCTTTTTGTTTTTTTCTTTTTTACCAGTTGGTGTGAAAACAGAGAGCCGAGCTCGAATTACAGTCGAATTCATTGCATTCGCTTAGGTGTAAATACCCTCGGGGAAGTTATGAACGCACCTATCCCTCAAGGTCTGGATTAAATAGTAGAACTTGTATTTGAAAATATTATTGTCATTCTAAAAAGATATCGCAAATAAAAATAATTATTCTTACAATCCAAAATATTTCAGCTTTAATTAACCCAAAAGGGTTGATAAACCTTAAAAAATATAAAATTTCGTTTTTCTTATTATTTATTTCGTCTTCTTTTTGTTTATTTTCCACTTCCTTTTTATATTTTTACTTTCGTTTATCTTTCTGTGATATTTTCTACTTTTCTTCCTTTTCTTTTAATTCTTTTTTGCTTAGTTTGCTTTTTCTTTTCTTTTTTCATCTTTTCCTTCTTTTTCTCCATTAAAAAAAATAATCGACATGCCACACCCTCTCTTATGCTGTTCTTTTCCCCTTATATAGTAATATATTAATTAAAAGACGACCCCAAACTTCTCATCAGGCCTGATTCGGCACCAAAACTCCACTTTCTAACTATTTGCGCATTCACAAGATCTCCCCTTTGCTCCGCCAAATTCTGTTTCTTCCCGTTCAATTATCACCATGTTGTACTTGATTCGACCAAACCTGGCTCAACTTTACCAAACCTGAATCAAGTGATCCGTTGGCTTCGGTTATACGTCTTCTCAGTTGACATCACGTGAATAATTCAACTGCAGAACGAATAAATTTCTACTCTCTCATATTTGGATCAGGTTTTGCGACATTACTAGAGAAAGTAAAACAGTTATGTATTTAGATAGGACTAGAGAAGATTTTTGTCGATATTCAGTTCACCAGTACGGCTTTCGTATGGCGAAATGGACCCAATCAGAAATAGCATAGGCGCGAATAATAATAATAATAATAATAATAATAATAATAATAATAATAACGTTTCTGAATGACGTCAGTCTAAAACTCGGACAGGAAATATAGACGATGAAGGTTCCGAGACATTCTCGCATAAAATGAGCAATGTAATATAAAACAAAGGGATCAATTTACTGCTTAATCATCTCATAAAATGATCCCCCAATTAAAAAATAATCACGCAAATTCGATTATGTGCTTTATTCTATGAGAAATTACAAGGTTTCCTATATGCCAGGAAATAAATTAAAAATTTAATGTAGAAGAAGGTTTTATTCTTATCCCTTTGGGACAGGGTCTTTTAGATAACAATAACAGGTGAATAACATTCATTAAAAAACAAAAACAAAAAAAAAAAGCAAACAAAAAATAACAATGAAGATTTATAGTGGGTTATCAGTTATAGTGAAGTGTATGAGTATTGAAACAGATTAGTTTGATTTGGCCCTGTTAGTTAGATAGCCCACCATAAGAAGGGTATAAAACAAGAAAATCAAATTGTGAAGTGAAACAACAAATTTATATACATATAAATCAATTAAGGTCTCTACAAATAAAATTAATGTATTTTGGTCGATACAAAGTCGTCAAAATGTTCGTAGTAGTCCTTGCAAGAAGGAGTTTATGTGAACGTATGTATGTATGTATGTATGTATTTATGAGCGCTATCGTAGGGTAGGAATGTCTTTGAAGTAATCGCTCAGACTTAAAATGTTCCGTTCGTTTATCAAGTATAAAAGAGGTGAGGGAGAAAGGTAAAAATAATAATAACGATCGTTTGACGTTTGTCAAGGGACTTGTTAATACGCTCGTCTCCTTCTCTCTGGTGACAGGCGAACTTGCCCGTCTTTTATTTTGTTTGTGGGGCTTGTAAAGGTCATTTGGGAATTCACTCCCGGATATGATTTCCATTGGATGACAAACAAACTTCGCGTCGGTTCGCGAAAAGGATTTGTTTCTGAGAATTGAAGATTATTTGAATTTTGTTTTTACATGTTTGCTAGTTTTTTATTGGCCGAAAAACATTTCGCATCAAGGTGTGAAATTTCACGAGTTTTGTTTTGGATTCGCTTTTGCGTGTGTGTTAAGCAATGTTTGTAAATTCGAGTCTTTTTAATTTTGCCATTTTCTTGAAGACTTCCTTGCTGCTTACTTGTTCCGTCCTCAGCATACCTCTGTAGAACTACATTTCTGCTGTCTCTAGTTTTTTTTCCTAATCTCTGGGAAGATTATTCAAATTTCACTGCCATATAAGATGTTTTATAACAATTTATATTCATTGTTATAAATTATTATTAGCAATTTGATTGATTGATTGATAAGTTTTCTATGGGTTATCAACCCTTTGCTGGTTATTTAATTTATATTGCAAGAATTATTTTTATGCTCCTGAAATAATAATGATTTAGTGATACAAGTCTTACTAATTAACCCATAGCATGAGGAGAAGTGATGGTTTCATACCTTTCCCAATGGTATTTTCTTATAAGTGAATATAACAAACCCGACTGGAATTGGAACTCAGAGAGCCGAATTTCCCCTTCGAACCGTTATCCATTACACCACCCATACATTCAATCTTACAGCACCTGGTATTTAGAGGCGGTCACCTATCTAGTCACTGACCAGGATCGATGGTGATCGTACGGTGTCCGGTGTTTCATCATAATATGGCCATAAGGTCGTAAGGGTTGTTTTCTAAGCCCTCCTTACTCATTATATGTACAACGAATTTTAGCTGTCCTTTCTTGATTTTGTGTATATGTTTTTTTTTTCTGTAGCCATTTTCTTAAAAGCTTGTTACTCGCCCCCACCCTAAAATTTTTCAGTATTATTCTGTAGAACCACATTTCTGCTGTGTCTACTTTTTTTCCTCATCTATGGGAAGATGGTTCAAATTCCACTGTCGTATAAAAGGTTGTAGAACAATTTATATTCATTTTCATAAATTACATATAGCGCTATAGTTATTTTCCAAGCATAGCTTAGATGTGGCACAAGGCCGAAATGATGGGGTATCGAGTGATGATCGAACTCACTTTTCAGTTGTAACTGATCTAGCGAGACAAGCTTGCTAACCAGGATAAATTTAGAATTTTAAAATAATTATAACAGAGCGCGTTCAGGCGTGTTTTGAAAAATCACCATCACAACGGAATGCAGATTTTATCACAGTTACAATAAGTTTCTCTTTGTAATTTACCCCTGAAGATGATCTTGGAAAAGATCGAAAGCAATTGAGTTAGAAAAAACTACGGCGTCTTCCTTGATGAATTTCATCTTAACATCAAGAAACTGATTAGGGAACTGGAAAGGATCAGTATAAATATAAGTAGATACAATATGTCTATATTATTCAATAATATATATATATATATAGTTTATGTTGTTTAAACGTTATTTTTGATGGATACTCATATTCGAGTAGAAGCTGGGTTTTTAAACAGTATTTTTTATTCAACTAAATGTACTGTCAGAAACTACTTGTCAGAAGTATATGCATGTTCCGGCAGGATTCGAACCAGCACCCCCTATGGAAAACGGTCATTGGATTTGACGTACCTAACCGCTCGGCCAAGAAAAAAATACGGTTTAAAAAAACTCAATTAAAAATAAAAATATGAGTATCCATCGAATATGGTATCTATAAAAAATAACGTTTAAACAAAATCAATTAAAAATAAAAATATGTCAAATTTTCCTAAAATAAATTGTCTTTGTTTACGTTAGGATAGGAAACAAATCAGATATGGATGTTTCGAGTATCGACAGAGAGTGTGTGTTCAAAAGCACTATTTAAGCTTTGTTTGACCGTAAGTTCCACATGGCCGAGCGGTTAGGCAGCTGATCCAATGTCGATTCCCCATAAGGGATGCAGGTTCGAATAAATAAATAAATATTTAAGGAACAAAGAAAACACGGATAAGTCTCAGCGGTCCCTCTTTCAGCACGTCGTGACGAACACGCTCGTCACTTAGCGCCTCCACATACAGGTCTGCTAGTTGAGCCTGCATGACCGCATTGTCTCTAACCACCTCCGGGAAGGCCAATGATGACAGCTTCCCCGCTCGGGCTCCCAATTCTCCAGGGGTTTCGTCCCGCAGCTGTGTCAGCTTTAGGAGGGCCCTCATGGCCTCTATAGCCGTGCCCTCGTCGGCGAATTCCTTGGTCAATAGTCCCTTTAATCTTTCCCAAGACAAGTGGAGCTCACTCTCCAAGAGCCCCTTCATAAATTCAGACGCTTTCCCCTTCGTGGCATCGTACGCCAGATACAGGGTTTCGTGGTCTGTGAGCCCATATATAACTCGGCTCTTCTCCAGGATTGCCAGCCAGTTTTTGAAATCTTTCCCACTGTCGTCAAATGCTGGGACCCTCGGTCCACACAACAACCTTCTTAGGTCAGCTGACAACCCTTGTCTAACCCCCTCTCCATCCCCCACTGCTCTATCATAGTCCGACATATTTAAAGAGAAAGACAATCTACGCAGCAACAATCGAGGTTGGGAAATCAAACAAAGTATCCTACCTTACAGACGATTCTGTTCTCGTTCCTCTCGGTCCCGGGTCGTTTTGAGTCCCATTCGAAATTTCTCAGCAACAACGGTCGATCCAGGATCCTGTCCTGCTGTCACGGTACTAATTGTGGCAGTGGCTGTCTCAGGGTTTCATCCTGGTCGCGGCATCAGATGTGACGTCGTCCCCCGGTCGCAGCGCCAACTGTGACGTTCTATCCTGATCTACCACGGCGCCAGTTGTGACGTGGCCGTTGCAGGGTCCTATCCCGGTCACGACACCAGTTGTGACGTCCCTAAACAGCACCAATTGTGACGTCATCGCCGCGGCGCCAGCTGTTCGCTTCTCGCTGCTCCGTCCGGGTGTCGCTGCTCCAAACGTGACGTCCGCCTGTCGCATCAGTCGTGTTTTCTCGTCCTGTGACGACCAACTGGCTTGGTATCGGTCGCGGCACCCAAATTTGACGTTCTAACCTTTTGGTGATTCGGGCGGAATCTGGTTAGATTTGATATCAGCCTCGCCGTTCCCTAACTCGCTTCCAACGCCTGGTTACCAAGGTAACTGCACTGATCTCCAGTCTGCCTACCCACGTTGTGAATTGATCTTAGACAGACGAGATCAAACAGTGGTTGGGGCCGTAATGCAAATTGAGTTCAACGGGGGTGATAACACACACATATGCATAAAAGAAATTAAAATGAAAACTCAAAAAAAAGTTCAAAGTATCAAAGAAAAAGGTAACAAACTTTATGTCTTGTTGTTCGATACATAGGACTGCATCTAACTCCCGACCCGTTCTGTGGATTGTGACACGTCGTTTTCGCTAGGCAAGTTTTAACGCTTCAAGTTGTTTGCTCTCTAAGAAATTTGTGTTTCGGTGTGTCTTTGGACGAAAGTCGAAAAAACTTATTTCAGTGGTCTGGTTCTAAGTCGCTCTTCAAAATAATTGTTCTTGGTTGAAGAGGAGTCCGAAATTTTGCGTGAATCTTGGTCAGCTATCTTGGTCTATCATCTCTGCCGCCAGGGCCCGAACTGATTTCTGCCTGTTGGGGCCTGGCTTTTATTGACGCCGACAAAAACCGGGTTGGGTCTGTTGGCGTCGGGGAGTTCCTCGATAATTCTAAATACATATCCACCTCTTTTATTTCTGGTTAGGGATTTTCCACTCTTTTCCATTTTTGGTAACTTTTTTCACTCCCACTTTCTCACCATGCTTCGGAGGGGCGTGAACTGCCCTCCCCACTTCTTCGTAGCAGCTTCTCATACTTATACTCTGGATGGGGGCGTCGACAGCCTTTTTCGTGCGTCACGTGATCACTCTCGGCCAATGAGGTCTTGGTCGGGTATCTTTCCTCCTCCTTCGTGCGTCACGTGATCACCACTTGACCAATGACGTCTTAGTCGGGCGTGAACAATCCGCGGCTTTGTTTCGGAAAAAAAATACCTTGCTTAACTAAAGAAGAAAAATTAATTATCTCTTCTCTTTCCTTTTTCTTCCTTTCAAATCGCCGTTATCATGAACGGATAATATGACAACTCTTTGTTCAACACGTGGCGTTTGTCAAGTAGTTTATCGTTAATCCATCAAGATGGTTGGTTTTCTTAACATGGCCTCAAAAAGAATTATCCCCAAGTTTTCAGTCAGTCTGACGTCTCCAAGGAAGAAAGAAAAACATTTCTGGTTCTATTCATTTTCCTTCGGTTCATGCGTCTGATAACAAAATTTTATTATCGCAGGGCAACGTTGTTTTGTTGAAAAGAATTTAGTTAGCGAGACTGCTTGTGTGGGATTTTAATTTTCCATATCTAACTAAGGCTCCGTAGCTACACCTGTGTTTTGTCAATTATCAAAATTAACGTTTTCAAGTGAACTTTCTTTGGCGAACATTTCTTGATAACACAATTCCATTCGCGCAGGCCAAGTAGGAAAATCGGTCAACGATTACTCGTAGGTGGCCTTTAATTTTCATATCTGTCCAAAATCTTTTTTAGTCGCCTGTTTCTTTTCGTCCCTTATCGAAATAACATTTTCACTTGAATTTTTCCCTACTCACTCAAATCTCATTGTCATTGTAATGACACTCTTTCGCCATTTGCCACTTATCAAAATAACCCTTTTTATTGCCTCTTAGCCGTGTGTGTGTGCGCTTATCACCTATGATTCGGATCTCGCCACACTTTTCCCTTGCTTTCTTCTTTTCTTTCGTTTCCTTTCCTGCCTTTCTTTCTCTGCCTGGATGCATGGTGCCACAAAGATTTCCAGGTCATAAAAACCTTTAGAATGAGAGATCAGAAATAATGACACGATGCATACACGCAAACAAGTTCTTTTTGAGTTCGTATGAAACTGGATGAAAGTACGTACATTTCATATACCACCCACCCCGATACAATTTCAATACACTTGCTTTTCTCTTTCCTTTCTATTACACTTCGCGTTGTGCCTTTATTTATTTTTAAATAATAAAGCGTTAAGAAATTATTTACCGCGGATCAATAGAAAATACCGAAAGCTTGAAATTAAGCCAGCGTGATCGGTTGATATCCTATTTTTATTTTAAATTTAAAAGCTCTGCATGTTAAATTTTTATTTTCTTCATACGTGTATTGAGCACTTTTTAATAATACTGTTTCCTGTCTTATTCAACTCTGACCAATAACACTTTTTAATAATATATATATATATATATATATATATATATATATATATATATATATATATATATATATATATATATATATGAATGTATATGTATATGTGTATTTTCTACACATTAT